CCTTCCTTCCTTCCTTCCTTCCTTCCTTCCTTCCTTCCTTCCTTCCTTCCTTCCTTCCTTCCTTCCTTCCTATTTCAAATTTGTCACTGCCCATCTCACTACAGAGCGACTCTGGTTTTTAGATTTTTTTTATCCTGCATTTATTATTTTTATAAATAACTTGAGGCGGCAAACATGTCTAATACTCCTTCCTCCTCCTTTTTCCCCACAACAATAACCCTGTGAGGTGGGTTGGGCTGAGAGAGAGGGACTGGCCTTTTTTAGAGTGTTAGGAAACCTACATCATTTTGCAGAGGCACGCAAACTCCAGGAAGGGGCCAGCCGCTGTATCACGCAGGCCTCCTTTTGCTGCAGTTCAGCCAAGCCTAACGCGACCTTTTGGTGTGTCTTCCCATTCAGGTGGCTGTGAAAATAATCGACAAGACGCAGTTGAACTCCTCCAGCTTACAGAAGGTAAGACAGAGCAGCAGTTCTGGCTTCATGAATTTGCACGCCATGTTCCCTTTTGTGGGCTGTGTGAAGTCGCTGGCTTTTTCATCCCACTCTGTTTATTGTCCCAGGGTGGCTTTTAACGGCAATGACAGTTTAAAGCCTTTAGCCGCAATTGGCTGAGCGTCCCTGGCGTCACAGAGGTAACAGTGCAGTTGGGGGCTCTGCCATGAGCTGCAGAGCTGAGAAGGCAGGCCTGGAACATGCCCTCGATGGGAGTAATTTGGAGAAAAAAGCAAGGGAAACCTTCACTTTTGCCTATAAAGCATTCCCAAACGTACAGCCTTTTGTGTCCAGCTGGTGGCCTGCTCCTCTCTTCCCTGATGACAGATTTCAGGACGGGGCAACACCTCGAGACCCTCCAGAAGTACTTGAACTCAGGTTCCTATGAGCCTCAGCCAGTGCAGGATGCTGAGACTTGCAGGTCAATATCCAGACGGTCATGCCTTCCCTTCCCTTTACCTATGTACCAAGAAAAGTGACCAGGCTGCTTTAATCTTTTTTTTTTTTTTCACACAAAAACCAAACCATAATGTAGCAGGTTTGTTTTGGTCTCAGCTTTCTGTGCAAACCAGGTCTCACTGGGTGCTTCAGTCCTGCTGGAAGGTGATGGGGGAACTCAGCCTCTCAGTCCAAAAATGAGTCTTCGTTTCTGCTTCATTCCATTCCCCTAACATCCCCCCACTGCATCGTGGACTGCATCTGGCCGAATCCCAATAACAATGGCTTCCTTCCCCTGCAAGCAATGGCCCTTCTCGACAGCTGCAACCAGGACCCAAAACATGACAGCTGAGCCAGTAGGACTTAAGGTCCTATTTAGTCCCCAGCCTGACCTGACCAGCCAGGCCCCATGCAGCTGTGCTCAGCAGAAGTGGCTTTGGCAGCCGTCACCACCATCACCACCTGGAGCCTCCAGATGTGGCCCTTTTGGGGCAGGTGGTCCAAGCAGGGCTGATCCCTCCCCTTTGGCAGACTTGCATACAGTTACATAGCCGGAGGGCTTGGTTGTGCTTCAGAAAATCTTGGGCAGCCTTCAGGACTCCCTCTGTTTCTTGCTTCTCCTGTTTGCAAGGGACCAGATGTCCCCTGGCATGCTGATCTGTATGCTGGAGCTGTCGACAAAAGAAGGGGGCATAGAAAAAATTATTCTTGCCGGGGAGGGAAATGCACCCTCAGAGGCTTGGATTTATTGCCCCAACCTCTGCTATCAGCCAAAGGATGGTCTTGCTGGTTGATCTTGGTATTTGGAAATGTCTCATTGAATATAAGCTCCTGGGGTGTCATCAAAATGGCCAGGAATCCATATTATGTATTGTAAGCAGCAGAGAAGGTTTCTTTATCTAGAGTGCCTTTGTTTTAAAAAATATGGTTCTAGCCCTTATGAATGCTCCATAAATTTGTGCGGGGGGAGGGAGGACTGCTTCCATTCTTGTCTGTTTTATCTGCCATGTTTTATCCCAGGCATTTCCTTTCAGTCTGGTTCTTGGCCCCAGCCCACAGTGCAGGAGAACCTCTCCATCCTGGCCAGGAAGGCTATTCATTTAATAAGACCCAGTGACCCTAAACCCACCGTTCTTGGACGGTGTCACCTTTGCTGCTTTTCTATCCATGGGGCCTGCAAGAGACATGGGGCTGTTCTGTTCCGCCAGGCAGGAGCTGCTTCTGGGCGTGGAATTCCTGCCTTCCTTCCAAATCCCCAGGACCACCCTTTGGAGATCTCCAGAAGTTGTCCCTGTTACATCCCTTGGACGCCTAGCGTGTCCCTCAGCCTGGTAAAATTTTGCACGCCCCTGCTTTGAGTGAACATCTCTCCCCCTTTCCACCAGAAGGCTGGAGATGAGCTCTCTTCTGCTCTCCAAGTCGCAAAAGCACTGTCTGTGCATTGCTCCCTTAATGTCTCTTCTACTGTTCCCACCACAGGCGGCTGGACCATGTAGACATCGCACATGGCCTCCTCTGTAAGAGGCTGCTGGAAGCTGCCGTGAGGACAAATCCTTCCCCCTTTCTCTCTCAAGTCAGCTGTGGCTCTCTCTTCTCCCCCCCGAACCGCCCTCCCTCTTCCTCCAGATGACGGAGAGGACGCTGACAAGTCCAGTGGGGAGAGTCACTGAGAGTCACTGCCCCAGGAAGGCAGATCCTGCTTGTGCCAGTGTGAACTTGTACGAAAGGGTTCAGGCTTCCTGGCAATGAGCCACTCGCTGGCTAGCCAGCACTTGATCTCCCCCTTGGCAGTGCCCTGGAGACAGGGAGGTGCTTTGGAAGGTGTAACGGCAACCTGTTGCCAAGTTCAGGCAGTGGCGCGTCAAAGGGTTGCCTCTCTGTGGCAGACATGCTGATGTGTCTCAGGTTGTTTTTAGCTGGGAAGGTGGGCTTTCACTGATTGTCTTCCGCAGTTCATTAAGAACAGAGGGTGCTGATATGTAGGCTTGACCCTCTGAAGCAGTGTTTTTCAACCTGGGCAACTTTAAGAGGGGTGGACTTCAACTCCCAG